ATTGAAGATTTATGTTAATTAATTAATTAATTAATTAATGTTAATTAATTAAGCTGAATGCATTCTGTACTGGACAGCCAATCAGGACGCAGAACACAATGCGCTGTTTTTAAAAAAAAAAAAAAAAAAGCAAAATTGCACAAAAAAAGTGTGTGAAACAGCGAGGCCGCGAAAGGTGAACCACGTTATAGTGAGGGACCACTGTAACAGTGTGGTAGAACAAAACAGTGTAAATATGACTGAAATTCAGTCCAAAATTGTTTCAAGCATCACTGGAGAGAAGTCCAACACTGGAACATTGTATCAGTTACACTGATCATATAAATGCACCTTCACATAAATCTTACTAGACACAGACAGTGACACACAACAAAAAGTTGATTCTGTACATCTGGACGTCGAGTTTTCATGGGAGAAACATTTCGTCCACATCCAAGTAATTTCTTCAGTCTCAGCTGACTGTAGGTTTCCCTAACCTTATAAACAGTTAATTTGCATAATGACTGACACCCGCACCACTGACTAAATATGGGCCATGAGGCCAGTTTTATGGTCATATATGGTATTTGCATCTCCCCTTTGTTTACTATTAGTGGAACTGTTGCAAAGTCAAAGTTTACACCTTAAAATGACTGGCTAATTCGTGTGCTGTTTCATGCCAAGTTTCTGAAATATTCAACTTTTTCTGCTGATAGAGTGACATTGAATGGAGTGCCAGTACTCTCGCTCTCCTCTGCTTCAGAGGTGTAGTTGTAAAGTTACAGCTCACTTCAGCTGAAGGTTGTGAGTTCAAGAAGTGCATGGGACACTTTTCATGATCAAGCAGCATAGAGTTGTATAAAAGGACACTTTCACACTTTGTTAGGTACACTTTCTTTAACTCTGCAGCAGCAAGATAATTTATACTATATGGTGCAGTGCTTCTTTCACAGACATGACAGAGAGAAAAGGGGACTGAGGACTGATTTGGCTTTTGGCCTCTGGCACACACTTACCACTGGCTCATGTGTGACATGCAAGCTTGGCTTTTATTGTGTGTTGCTGTTTGGCTTAGTGGGTTAGTTCCTCCACTTCAGTCTGTTGAAAGCTGAAGGTTGTCAGTTCAACTACAGCTTTACATAGTTATTTTCAGTCTTGTGGGTTCACACACCTAACCCATCCTTGCTATGGCCTCCCCAGTCCAGCTAGCCAGGTCCTTTTGGCCAAGGCATTAGCTCAGCAAGCCTAACTTGTTCTCGCTTCGCAAATTTCACTCTTTGAATTTACAGTTTATAACTCCTATTCACACCAAGATGAACAATAAGAGCAGTGTTGTGGAAATGCTAGGTGGCTTACCTTTCGAGACTGGGGACCACCAAGCTGGGTTCTTCTCTCGCCATTTGTTGATTCCCAAGCGAGACGGGAAACTCCGTCTGAGGAGCCTCAACCTCTCTCTTCACCCCCTCCAAGATGCTGATGGGACTTGGAACACTTGGAATCCCTTGAGATACCACTGTTTTCCATTATTATTGTTATGTACATATCTACAGCTACATGATTGTAGGGAAAATGTTAAAATTCGACCTTTTTTTTTTTTCCAGACAAAACATTTGTTCATACCTTCATAAGCTTGTATGTACTTGATATATTTTGTTTTGTGTTGTATTTATTTTATCTATCTATCAATCTATCATTCAAAAGGAGAACATGAAGCTGTAGAAAGACGTTTACATACAGTCATCCTGGGCATGAATGTGCCAAAGAAGGTGTCACAAGCTGTTCTTGTGCGTTCAAACAGAGCCACAAAATTTGGTAAGCTATGGCAAACAGCTGTAAAATGCTAATAATGGAGGTCAAATCAGAGAAGGACTATTTGAATGTTACTTAAGTAAATGAACTGCTGCAAAAGCAAAAAATAAATGTTTTTCAACACTTCCTGAACCACAAGAAACATTCAAAACTCTAGAATTGAGGTGTAAGACATTAAAACAAACCTCTAGTTTACACAAAAGGATGTCCATAAAAGCTGAAAGGGCTAAACACACTGAACGCAACAACTCATTACAAACAATTTAAAAGCGTGTGACATTCTGCTGGGTGCACTGAATATTTGGTAGCACAATCTAAACTTAAAAACCTGGTATTTGACAGAGAGACCTGGGTAGAAACAGAGAAGAAAGTGATGAAAATCCTCTTGAAAAAGGTATATAACTTTGGCGGGAGATCAAGATGGAAGAACTGTGTTACAAGAACAGAACGGCCATTCTCCAATTGGCAAAGTTTCTCAAAGGATCTAAAATATTCATAAATTAGGCTTTTATGGATGTACTGAGGAGAAAAAGGAAGGAGTATATGGGCTCTGAAGTACCGTTAGGACAGAAGATACATTTTCAATAATTCACTTTAACAGCAGAAGCTTGTATACCAACTTTCACAAGATTTCACAAGACTTTCATTGACTCGGTCAGGTCTTACACCCTTTCAATAAAGCAAAGTGAGACAGGTATGGACTTGGGTGTAGCATCTTATGAAATTATTTCCAAGAGCAGAGAAAACACAACTGAATGTGATGTTGCTGTCTTTATTGATAGTAATTTTATTTATAAGGTGGTGGAAGAAATGTCAGTAGTGGTGTAAAAAAAAAACAACCTAAAAATAATGTTTATCTGTGGTATTATCTGTAGTGTGAGAGAGGAGGACAAAAATGCAGAACACGAGAGAAGACTGAACTAAATTTAAACAAAAGGCGAGCCATTTATTTGAGTTGAAAACATGAATATAAAAAAGGCAAAAATGAACAATGGCAAAAACTAAAACCTAAACTGGGACAAACTAGACTGTGACGACTGCAAAAAAGAACATTTGATGTGACATCGAGGGAGACAAACAACCTGACAAAGAGTGAATGAAAACACACAGACTAAAATGCTAATAATGGAGGTCAAATCAGAGAAGGACTATTTGAATGTTACTTAAGTAAATGAACTGCTGCAAAAGCAAAAATAAATGTACTCGGGTATTTTTGAAAACGCAGAACATCAACCATCAAACCATCAACATGTCTTTTAGAAGAACTACCATTAATTAATGCTTCAATCTTAAATATGATCAACCTATCTCTATTTATCGGTTAGGTACCACAGGCCTTCACGGTGGTAGAAAAAGTTCATTTCAATTCAATTCATAACAACAGTTGCCTCAAGACCCTACAATAATACAAATACTGATACTTAAAAAGCTATCACTGAACCCAGCTGTCTTAGCTAATTGTTGGCCAATCTCCAACCTCCCTTTCATCTCAAAAATTCTTGAAAGAGTAGATGCAAAACAGCTAACAGATCATCTGCAGAGGAATGGGTTATTTGAAGAGTTACAGTCAGGTTTCAGAGCCCATCACAGCACAGAAACAGCTTTAGTGAAGGTTGAGGAATGAGGAATATATCAAAGTCATAAGAAAAATAACTGAGGTTATTGGGTTGGCTACCATTGGGGTGACTGTAGCTCAGGAGACAGAGCAGGTCATCTGCTGATCGGAAAGTTGGTGGTTTAATCCATGGCTCCCCCAGTGTGCATGCCAAATATCCTTGGGCAAGATACTAACCCCAAATTGCTCTCTGATGCATCCATCGGAATATGAATGTGTGTGAATGTTAGGTAGAAATCACTTACAAAGCATAGAAGAAAGTGCTTGTGTGAATGGGTGAATGTGACATGTTGTATAAAGTGCTTTGAGTGCTCCAGGAGAGTAGAAAAAAGAATCAGTCCATTTAACCAGATTCTTACTCTGGATGGCATTACCTTAACTACCAGTAACATTGTGAGGAATATTGGAGTTGTTTTTTAGACCAAGATATGTCCTTCAATGCACATATTA